CGCATACGTGTACGTATGTGTCTATATATACATATATCGATATAACGTGTTGCTCCGGAGTAAAACATTACTCCGGAGTAAGTATTACTCCGTAAAATATTACTCCGGAGTAACTATTACTCCGTTTTGGAGTAAAATGTTTACTCCGGAGTAAGTGTATTTGTAGCAAGTAAGTATATTTGTCACGGTGGTCTGTTACAGATATTATGTGTAGATATATCGTATGTTCATATACATGAACTTCGGAGTACATGTATGATTACTCCGGAGTAAGTGTTATAGTGGTAAATAACATACCTATTTTACGCATGTGTGTGCATCATGTGTGCATGTATACATCGACACAACGGCGCAAATATGACAGTGTGAATATTTTTACTTTGTTGTGCATTTGCGGGAATAGGTTTGTCATGTTTGTAGAAAATTTTACTCTGAAAAGGTGCAGTTTATCAAATGTATATCTCTAGGTGCTTTCTACACTTTTGTGTCGGCGTGATCTTGTTTAGTTATGCCACAAAGATCGCGCACGCATCGCGCCTCCTCCTTGTTTGATAGCGGAGATATTTGCCCTGTGCTGCCCGATGCTTGTTCCTGTCCCACAAAAGAATATTCATGAGGAGGATAATTTTCGTCCTTACACAACAAAGGCGACCGACCCGGACTGAAACCGTCATGCCCGGACCAAACACCGCCCTCTAAACCCCTTGCCAGCAATCGGCACCGTACGACATCAAAGGATGTCACTATCCCTGTACGGGTTGGGAGAATATGTTCATCGATCGTTGCATTTTGTTTCAATTGCCAAAGGCCCGATAAACGTTTACCATGCTGATTTGTTACAGAGACGTATAAAAGGGTCGTTTCTTTCCGTATACAGTGCAGTGACGAGTAACAGCAACTAAGAACAAACCTGCAAACGTGTATATCCTGATATCCTTGCTTCGGGAAAACCCCGGCGCCCCCTTTGTCGGCACCTTTTGTTCTCCGCTGTCATGTGCGGACTTGTCCCCACTGGGACCGCTGAGTCAGGGAAAAGCTACGTCATCTATTGTTTGTATCAGAGCGTGTTCGGACTTGCCCCTGTGTCCGAGTACCCCATAAAAGGCGGCCAGCGAAGGCGAGAATTCAGTTCGTCGGCAGCTGCGGAACGGCAAGGATCACCACCTCTCTCTCCAGTGACCAGCACTTCAGCAAGTTGGACCGTCGTCGAAGTGGTGAGTTTCCCATCATCTTTTTTGTCTCTTTTAATGTCTTTTGATAGCAGTAGGAGACCGAGTGTTGACCACTGGGCGCAAGTCGCCCCTTGAGAGAAGAGGATTATGCAGTTATTTGCCCTTTTGAACCGAACCCTTTTGTTCGACCAAGTGCAAGAATGTAGAGGTCCACGGCGGGATGCCGGTGAAATGTTTTTCTCAAACAGTCAAAGATGAACTGTCTAGTTTTAATGGTTCACTTTGGACATGTATTTGGAAACTGTTAGGTAAGATAAAGATTACTAAAATGGGAGTGTACGCTTTCGTCAGAGATTATTTCATGGTTTTGTACTTTGTTATTAGAATAGTACTCCTTCAGTAGGGACCAAAAGGCGGAAGGGATCTTGTCAAAGGATGAGTTTAACTATTTAAGGATATTATCTTTGTATTCATCAATGCTTACATTCATCAATGCTTACATTGATGAAAGTAAGTTGCTTTATATGTGATATTCCTTTCTATACTGACGACATGTGTCTACTATGTCCAAGTCTGAAGGCCTTGCAGAAACTTGTGCATATTTGTGAAGAATGTGGCTTTCTTAATGATGAAGTTTTTAATGTAAACATTTCATGTTGTACGTATTTTCCAACTGCGGGTCTGTCGCCCTGCGACATTCTAGGTCATCTTTCTTTTTTGCCAGTTAGAAATTCGGCGACATTTCAAGTCAACCCTAAAACTGTAAGAGAAGGAAAACTCTAAACCACGTGCAGCCTTGTACAAAGACCAGGAAACTATAACTCTATTTATTATGTATATTTGTAAATTGTGATAATATGATGCGAATGTTTTTTTTTTACTTTTTGTTGGCTATAAATCAGATTAAGTAACATGGAGTCACTGTTTTCTACATTTTCTCACTGCAAAAATACGTACGCTAACGTTGTACCGATGTGTTAGGTTGTGGTCGCCATTTACTCTTCTCGCTTGAACGTAAATGCGGTGGCGGTAGATTTCTTGGATTGTTTTATCATTTGTTTTTTAACTGTTTATTGTACATATGTGTTGTTCTGTACTGTTAAATCAGATTTTCAGATCGATGTTCAGAATAACTTGCAGTATAACCATCTGTGGGCATTTTCTGGTCATTTATTAAAAAATTATGTTACGCTATTCTATTGTTACATCTGTAAGATTTATTTAATAGGTCAAATAGTAATAGAAATACAGACTTTGAATAATGTTAAATTGATATTGGGTATAATAACAAAGCTGTATGTATGTTACATCTATGTTGCAAAACCTGGGCTGGCAGTCTCTGGAAGTACGTCGGGAGATCGCCCGCCAGGTCATGTTTTATAAGACTATACATAATGCTGTCTCCGTCCCACACTCAACCAGGATTGTCCCGGTGGCTCGATGCTCCCGCCGCATCAATCACACTCAAACATTGCAGGCCATCGCGAGCAGAAACAACTTTTACAGGCTCTCGTTCTTCCCCCGCACCATCAAAGAATGGAACGAACTTGAGCCTGGTGCGACGGAGGCGGGGTCTCTCGCCCAGTTCAAATTTGTACTGGCGAGGACCGTGCTGCATTGAGCCACCCCATCATGTCTTGAAACAAGTAGTACCAACAACATGCCCTCTTGCACGTACACGGTACAGAACATTGTTGTTGTTTTTTCTGGCTGTAGTTGAATAATGATCTTTATCCTCACAACGTTTTACAAGTAATCAACAAGTAATCAACATTTCAGCAAGACCCACCCTCAACTTCAATGCCCAGACAAGAGCCACTAGACAGTCAAACTCCGCTGCCTACAGGGTGCCCCAAAGTAGGACTTCCTACAGACAGAACTCTTTCTTCCCGCGGACAAGTCCTGACTGGAATAACTTGGATGTAGACATCGCCCTTTCCTCTTCTCTGGAGGAGTTTAGGGGCAAGTTGTGAAACCTGAACTCCCCGGCATGCACCCACCACTACAGGAAGCAGAATCTTCAAACTGTTGAAGGCGGCTGCCTCAAGCGAAAGAAGAAGAAGAAGATCCCTGACACCAAAAAGCAAACCTTACAGCAGAGATGAGACTCCCTGAATTGCAAAGAGTTTGCGTACAAAATGTACAAATTACAATGGACAAGACAGGCATTATATGCATTCCCACCTATACATTATGATACATTATTTTGTACCAAGCAAACCTTTATACAGATGAGGTTTAGGAAAGATAAACATGATGGAAAGATAAACATGATAAAAAAAATGTGCCTTTAGTAGCTGTTTCAAAATGTGAAATTTTAAATGTTAGTAACAACACATCATCGCATTTTTGTTTGCTACAGTAGAGTTCCTCATAATTTAAATAATAGCACATGTTGTTTCCATGGTACATTTGTATTGCTAGTTTCAATTGATTGGTTGATCAATTGATGAATTGATTGATTGATTGATTGACATATTTTCATCACAGTTGAAAGAGTAGGAGTTGGAGCAAAGCCAAAGAAGTTGCTCCTCCCTGCGCCTGTTCTCATTACTGAGTAAGTACCCTCTAGTAATTTGAAAAAAAAAAACATGGTGTATTTTATAGTTCTATCAACATCTATTTTGATTTGAATTTATTTTATAGTTTTATTCCATGCTTCACAAATTGTTGGAAAGCAAGAATGTGTTTTTGCTTCAAGAAATCATTGTCCAAATCTAGCCAGTTACTTGAGTAACAATTCCTTGTGTATTTCATTACCTTGTGTATTTCATTACCTTCATCATTGCTTCTTCTTTTCCTAGTTCATCTGAAGATGATGATGAGAATGGTGATGAATCTGAACCAGACCCCCAGGATGTACCCCCTGCACCTGTAGTACAGCAGCCTCCAACAATAGAGCAGCAACAAGCTGACACAGCTACACAAGTGGTCAGTATACGGATTAGCTAAGTCTTGTCAATGTTCTAGTTAGCATATGTTGATTATGAAGACCTCTATGTTGTGATTTAAGGCCCTGTAAATGGTATACAATATATAATTTGCCTCTCAGTTAAGGTTAGGTCCTGCTGTGTTTTGTTTTTCCACCACCTTGTAAAATCTGTAAAATCTTTAAAATCATTACCTTCATCATTGCTTCTTCTTTTCCTAGTTCATCTGAAGATGATGATGAGAATGGTGATGACCGTGTAGAGCAGCAACAAGCTGACACAGCTACACAAGTGGTCAGTATACGGATTAGCTAAGTCTTGTCAATGTTCTAGTTAGCATATGTTGATTATGAAGACCTCTATGTTGTGATTTAAGGCCCTGTAAATGGTATACAATATATAATTTGCTTCTCAGTTAAGGTTAGGTCCTGCTGTGTTTTGTTTTTCCACCACCTTGTAAAATCTGTAAAATCATTACCTTCATCATTGCTTCTTCTTTTCCTAGTTCATCTGAAGATGATGATGAGAATGGTGATGACCGTGTAGAGCAGCAACAAGCTGACACAGCTACACAAGTGGTCAGTATACGGATTAGCTAAGTCTTGTCAATGTTCTAGTTAGCATATGTTGATTATGAAGACCTCTATGTTGTGATTTAAGGCCCTGTAAATGGTATACAATATATAATTTGCTTCTCAGTTAAGGTTAGGTCCTGCTGTGTTTTGTTTTTCCACCACCTTGTAAAATCTTTCCAGAAATATGTGACATAATGGTAGTGTATTAACAGATGTTCAATAGTGTGTTTTTCATTACAATTGTTACATTTGTTACTTTGTACCGTTTTCACTTTTTTTAGCCAGTTGTTTGTAGCAAGGTACCGAGGAATAATCTTAAAATGAAAGCATTGTAACTTTGTACCTTTTGTTCTTGTAAAAGCAGCAGATAGATATATGCAAATCGACATAATCACTTAACAACTAAACCTAGATGCAACCCGTAATGTAATGCCCAAGAAGACACCAACACAGAGCAACGAGTGCATGGACAAACGAGAACTTTAAGCATGTATAACAACACGTGATTGAGGTCAGATGGAGAGCCATCATATGCATGACTAATCCATACACGAAGAAGAGATATCGCTTGTACTTCCCTCCTGAAGTCGCTTTTGTGATGCATGTTTTATATTCTAGATAATCATGATTGCCAGTTTGTTCAACTGGCAATGACATCTCAATTCATATACTGCAAGTGTACAGTTTCTTTTCTTCTAAATTTGAGTTCTATTCTCGATAGACGCGTGGCTGAACCAAAAGAGAGGATACGGGTGGTCTATGGTTTCTCTTAGCCTGTGTCTGATGTTGTACTAAGTTCGGAATTGAGTGAATAAATCTCCTGGTGGTGCGATCAAATTCCGTGACAACCAGCTGGCACACATAACAATGTCTTTTTTTCAGTATATGATGAAGACGACCACCACTAGGCAAAGCTAGGAAGAGCAGTTGTTGCAGTTTCAGGAAACATACTGAACTGCACCTGTTGCAATATCAAACAGGGCTGCATCCACATGGGGATAGCCAGGTGGTGGAGTGCCCAACATCAAACACAAAACGTTCTGCAACAGACAAGAGTAGTGAAGGCATCGATACATCACTCAGTGACAACACAGATGAAGCAACGCCAGCAGCATCCATGATCAGCGACATGACACAGTACCTCAAGACTGAAAAGATTCCAATGGACTTTAATCACTATTATCTTAAACTGTTGATTCCTTCCATCCATCCCAGGGATAAAATCTGTCCCCTTTGTCAAACGAAATCACAACTGTAACCACAGAGCTAGAAACATTCAAAAATAAGATTATAGCCTGCAAAAGTAAGTGTTAAGCCTTGTAAAATTGCAACGTTTTTTTCTTTCCAACAGGCCATCTTGGAACATGTACCATCGTCCAGTCGGAAAATGGAACTGAGTTCAAGGATAAGGTGGAGGAACTCCTGAAACTTCAGAACACTGAACTGACTCACTCATCTCCATATCGTCCGGAAAGTCAAGGCAAAGTAATGTGTTTCTCTCTTTCTTCTCTCATTGACACTTCAGTCTCAGCTGACTGTGCATCAGAATGTAAACGGTATGATATTAAACCCAATGAAAATATAAACTGTGGGTAATATTTTTGTCCAAGGGATATATCAGGGGAGCAGAAAATGCTTCACTATTGTGGCAATGAATACTATGCATTTTACACCCATTACAGCAACGAAGGCCATCGCCAGAAAATTAAAAAAAGGTGTCGAGTGGGGCCAGTGGGTGCCAGCTGGCAGATAAAAGTATTTTTCTTGTCAAGCATATCCTTGTCAATCAAAATGACAATATGTAACTCAAAACATAATGTCCCATTGGGTCAATCTTGACTAACACATTTATTACAAGATTATAGAAAAAAATCTATGAAATGTATGTCATTCGCCCGGCAACCACGGCTTCTGTACATGATCCTGAGGTGAGAGCGATTGCAGCAACAAACGCACTTTGTGTGGGAATTGATATTCCAAACGTTATATTGGTTATACATTATGAAGCACTGGCGTCTCCTGGCCTTTACATTTAGGTATTGATAGAGCAGGAAGACGAAATGGTACAGCTGGCGAAGTCTGGTGAACTGAAGGAGTTACGACAGGAGCTCGACAGGATTCTTAACAGTCACGACGAGCTGGAGGACTGAATTCGCCGCGTTACGGCTGCCAGGAGGCATTAATGTAACAACTTAAGTTCTAATAAACCAGTCTACTACTACTACTACTACTACTACTACTACTACACGGGATGGCTTCCTTCGAATACCCCAATCTTCGACGTCATGAAGAAGACGTCAGGGACTGATCTTCCTCCAGAAACTATACCACACCAAGACGTTTGTCATACCTAAGGTATTGTATTGTGTCCACGAAAAGACATTGATGTGGACGATGTTTTACACCATGTAATAAGCCCAGAGTATACTGTAACCGACTTGGCGATAAAGTATCACGTAGATAGATCTACCATCTACAGACGCTTAAAAGAACATGACATTAATTTAAGGCAGGAGAGATACACAAATCAGTCAGGGTGACATGCAACATATAGTTAGGGCAGCCAAGGGCGATCTAGGTTTCTATCAGATGGGACAAAAAGTTATGCTTGGCTACTTACGTAAAGTTCATATCATATTGAACACCGGGCAAATAATATGTTGCATCAGATGGCACTTTCAATTTTTATCCGATTCAACTTCCATATTCAAGTCTTTGATACGATTTTTAAAAAATTGATTCATGTTTATATTCAGTTCTCTAGGTGTCGGGGCCAAGCGTGAGGGGTTGCGGGAGGCATGCCGAACAGTAGATCCAGTTGGCATAGCCCTGCGCCATCCTCTCTTCAGAATCAAGATAAACAGTCATGCTGCATACACTGCCCCGTATGGGCAGTTACTATGGCATGTTCTCCTGTGGTATGTTCATGTAAAATGATAGGTGAGGGAGGGAAGACAAGAAATCCAGGACTTGTGAGACCGAGAACGGCAGCGGTTAGAAGATACCAACACTCACAACAGGACGAGGGTGAAACGGCTAGAAAACGCCGAAAGCGGAACATGACCTCCAAAGTGCCAGACAAGTGCAGAGTAAAATGTTGTTATCAAAATGGTCTGAACTCATTTCAATGCGAACAATCCCCATCAAAATAAATTACCAGGGGTATGAATACATATCTTTCATGAGAAACCCACCTCCTCCTCCACAATTGTCTGTAGGACCATCATATTTAGAAGTGGTTCAGTTTGCTAAAGTTCTTGGTGTCATACTGCAAGCCGATCTAAAGTGGTCCGCTCATGTTAACACCATTGTCAGTAAAGCCAACCGTAGGCTCTACCTAGTACGCGTCCTGAAGAAACACGGACTTAACGATAACGACCTAGTGCTAGTTTTCTGTGGTTTTGTTCGGCCGTTGTTAGAGTATGCCTGTCCGGTGTGGCATCCTGGCCTCACTAGTCTCCAGTCGAAGCACATTGAAGCCGTACAGAAGAGAGCTTGTAGAGTGATTCTAGGCAGAACATATGTTAGCTATGATAGTGCACTAAAACAGCTATCTCTCACTTCCCTGTCCTTGAGAAGACGCAATCTGTGTATGAAGTTTGCAGTTTCTATTTCTAAATCCCGTCTTCTCTTGCTTGCTGCCTCCGAAACGGGGAAACATACACGGCAGAGAACTGAGAACGAAGGATAACTTCACCCAGTTCAACTGTAGAACTTCCAGATTTACGAATACTACCTTGCCTTTTACTGTAAAATTATTGAATGGAATTTAATCATTAGTACCTCGCCTCTTAGCCTAGTATAGTAAAGTAGAATGGATTTCAATCAATAGGTCTCTTTTATTGTAAAGTTATTTTATGTATGTTAGCCAGTACGCAGTCTTTTAGCCTATGTTTGTAGAATTGACTTTGATGAATTATAGTACCTTGTCTGTTAGGGTATAGAATTGTGATGGATTTTAAGAATTACACAAGATTTGTATCATGCCCTAATTCAGCCAGATAAGGCTGCAACGGTATGTCTGAGCACGTGTTGCAAATAAACCAGTCATCATCATCATCATATTTTTATGTTGTATGAATGCTACCTCCATTACATGTAGTTAGATAACCCAACAATGCTGATCTGTGTAATTGTGTGTCACATGCAAGGACTTCACCGATCCGCACCAGGCACATACTATCTGTATAGTGATGAGTTGAAGAACATCGTGAGGGATGCGTATCCCTCTGGGTTGGACCCGGACTGGGGGATGGAAAATCAGGGGAACAGGCCGACTGCCAACGTTGGGATGGAGGACCTCTTCCAGGATAAGCCCTGATCAAGGAGCTTTCATCAACTGCTGATGACCGACCTACCTCCTTGGTGACAAAAGAAAGGCAGATGTTCCCAATAAGGTGAAAAACTTGCCAGGAGTAAGCCCACAAGAAAAACTGTGACCAGGACTAACTAGTTGTAAGTTACAATAAGCACCTGCAGCATACATGTCACCTGTCCAGTCTAACATGGATCTGCAAGAAC